AAAGTTGACAGCTATGCTGGGCAACGAAGTCAAAATAAGAGTCGCAAGGTTAAATATTAAACCAGAGGCGGTTTATTCATGGCCGGATTATAATGGTTGCAATTGGAATTACTGCGCCAGGGCTTATGTCTGCAAGGGACCCAGGGAATGTTTCACGCTCTTGTGTGTCAGTCTCCAGGTGGGAGTAAGCTACAGTTCCGGGTGTGCAGCCATGTGTTTTAAATGTATGGTGTAGCTGTTACATACAGGTTTCCATTACCTCTCAGAGGAAAATCTGTTAAAGCTCCTCTCTTCAGATACGTCTATCAGAGCTTCTGCCAAAGGTTTATTTATACATGAGTGGGCCAACCCAAGTGGCCACCCCACTTCACATTTCCAGCAAACATATGGAAGGAGGCTTTGACTGAAACCCCGCTTTGGAGGGAATCTCCCTTTGAATTGGAGCATCCTAATAATTTGTATTGTTTGTGGACTGCCGCCTCTCCCAAGCTGGCAGTGAGTCACAAAACATATTAGAATGCAGTTCAAAAAAATCTACTGGTTGCAAATGCAACGTGCAGAAAATGATTATTTGGTACAATCTCTTGCCAAAATGATACAATATGATTAGATGTGTCGCATATGGTCACAGTGCAACATAGATTTAAGTACTGTGCTGGATCATAGCCAAAATTCATATTTGCTTTATGATCAGAATGTTTCAAGTTGCTGGTTATATTGAATATATTTTATGTTCATTTTTATATCTTTAGGGCCAACTATTTACATGAAGGCAGTTCCAGGTGGGTAAAGAGGTTTATGCCATGTGTAGATGTAGGATTCCTCAGAAGTTGGGAAGAGCAAATTAATACTCCATATATCTGGGTCCTTGGTTATGTATGCAACAGGAGCTCTTTTCCAGAAATGTAGGAAGCCCTTCCCTATACTTTCTTTCTTGTTGGAAGAGAATCTAATGCGGACATTCTCTTCCATCAATGGTCAAATCATCACTTTGCACTTTGGGAGCAATTAGATGCATAGTACATGTGTAAATTTGTTTTCAGTCAAAACAAAAAGATGGCCAGATAGCAAAGGAGGAAGTGCCATTTCAATCAGCAGCCAGACAACTCCATTTTGCAGTAGCCAATGTGTGTCTCTACTAACAAGTCATGAGGATATCTTGTAACAGTGTGTGAAAAGATCATCTATGGTTTTTCCTGGAACAGATGTTCTCTTTCACAAGATTGGGTTTCATAAGAATATGGATTTATGGAGTGGTGATGTCATCCAATAACTGAAAATATGGCAGTGAAATCAAGTGACAAACATCATGCCCTCAGCTTCAGAACCCAGGATACTGTTTTAATTATAGAAAATGAATGTGTGGTTTTTTCTATGAAGTAATAGACATAAATGATTGTCCAATGTGTAAATCTATGTACCACTAACTGTGAAAGTGATAACATTGTGTTTTAAAATTTTCTTTATAATTAACAATAAATTAACAAAATATGTCAGTGCAAGCTATGCATTTTTAAGGGCTTTTATATTTAAAGAATCCTGGTAGTGTTATATATCTATACATACAGATATATGGTAACCTGAGCAGTTGCCTTTATGCGGGCTGTCAGATACAGAGCTGGCCCACCATGATGTGAGGTGATGCACCCACCTCAGGTGGTGGAACTGAAAGAGGCAGTTCTCTTCCCACCCCACCGCTCCCACTACAGAGAAAGGAGGCATTCTGGAGCAGCAACATTGCCAACTTGTCTTCCCTGCCCCTGGGTGGAAAAGCCAAGTGAGTGGCAACTTCTGGAGGAGCGCCTCAGCTCCTGCTGAGTTCGGAGAGAACTGGAGCTTGGTGGCAGCAGAAGTGGGGCATGGTGGGAGGAACCAGGGGTTGGCAATTCCTGTTTATCCTCAGGTAGTGAAATGGGATAAGCTGTCCCTGCTCAGATAACTAGTCCATGCCTAGCCAAGCATTTTCTTCGTGGGCTGCCAGCAGTTTTCCAGACATTCCTATTCTCCAGCTGGCAGCAGTTCCTAGGCAGAGACCTGTAAGTGGAAAAATTATGGAGACTGAATCTGAAACCTATCCAGACAATGATGGGTGCTTTCCAGGGGCTTTTATTGCTTGCTGCCTCAATACATCTGAAAAATCAGCAACAGCTCTTAACATTCTACCTGCTACGGTAAGTCACTGGGAAATATGAGGAGTTCCCTGCCAAAAGGGATATTTGTCAGTCCTGGTTTTGGGGGTTGGTGAGGGGAGGCCTGCAGCCTACGACTGCCAGTGTTTGTTGGTGCTTTCCTGCTGGTTGTCTCACAGTAGTCTTTACAGGGGGAAGCAATGAGAGCCCTTCTTTCTGACTTAACACTAATGCATTGTCCATAGGGAGAGGTGTGAGCATTGCATTTAGTGACATCATCAGGACATTTTATCATCACACGTTGATTAATGGCTTAATGTGCTTTCTAATGTGGGGATGTCATTCTCCATCAACATTATGATTGGTGGATGGCAACAGGGTTGCTCAGAGCAAATGCAGGAGTGGTTGTCTGTTTTGGCTACACTGCCTCTTCTTTTTCTTGCTGTTCTTTGGCTTTCACCTTTGCTGCTGAGAACACATCATGGCATAAATGAATTGCCCTGCCAGTCGTGAAACGTTTATTTCAAGGGTGGGGCACCCATGGCCCTCCTGATGTTGTTGGACTCCAACTCCTATCTGCCTCATCTAGCAGAGCCAATGGTTAGAAATGATGTGAGTTGTAGTACAACATCTAGAAGGGGCAACCCAGCCAGATGGGTGGGATAAAAAATAATAAATTGTTGTTATTAAGGTCCAGCCCAAGTACCAAGTATCAAGGCAGGACAATACCTGTTGCACCCAAGGATAACTGAGGGTGCCCAAGATTTCTGTTGTTAAAATAAGGAAACTGTATATAGTTGGCCTACACACCTACACCACCCACACACCTTCGAGAACCACAGTCTTTATCCCTAGCCTTTGAAAGGGCTGGCACAGACAAAATGGGGCATATGAGAAATGGAGAGTCTCAATCACTGGAGTCAGGAGGGTTCAAGAATCAGGGAGGGAGGAGGGGGTGTTGGTGGGAAGAAGTCAAAGTATTCTCTTGGGCAGTGGTTCCCAACTGATGGTCTGTGGACCCCAGGGGGTCTGCATAACCTACCAAGGGTTCAGTAGTACCATTCATCTAACAAAAACTACCACAGATCAACAATTTCAAAAGTAAGGGGAGGGGGTCATAGCTTGGCTTTCAAAAAACAGGGTCTGCAGTACTTAGCTAATTAGGAACCACTGCCTAGTGGTCTCAATATTAGAGTTTGCTGCTGTTGTTCAAGGAAATACGTGTTTCTTTAATGCTGCCTCAGAAATATGTTGTAGCATACATTTTGCACCAGTCGAGCTTTAGTAGTTTCGCACAAGGGTTTCTGCTTCTTTGCTAACTTTACCTTAGTCCACTTGCTTCCCTGCACAGTGAAACACCCATGAACAAGAAGCTTGCAAGCAGCTGCTAGAGGTTCAGAATGTGAAGGAGTTGCTAGCAAGCTGAAAGCCTGTGAGGTGGACTCCTGTACCTCTAGGATGGGTGATCAGAAGGTGATGGCAGGAGGTGTCCTTGTTGAAACTTGGGACAGATGTGCCAGGATGCTTTGCTGAGAAAATGAAACTACAAAGAAAGGAAAGAGCAACAGGGCACAGCTGGGGAGCCAGAGGAAGAGGAAGGGAGAGGCCAAGGAGATCTGAACACACGAGAAAGTTAAAAGTGGGGAGGTAGAGGAGGAGGACAAACATGGCTTGGCAAGGCCCTTCCCTCTGAAGCCACAGGGGAATCATTGTGGAAACCAAAGGCTGAGATTGTAGCAGCTGATTCCCCTCAAACTGTTTTCTTTGTTAAAATGGCTGGGAAAGTTGCATTTCCAACAGGAACAGAAATTAATTGTGAGAGAGCTGCAGGGGTAAACGTAAGATAAATGATTGAAGAATATCCAAAAAGCTTTGTTCTGAAGACTCAACACATATTTTTTTTTAAAAGCCTAGTATGTATAAACATATGCATATGTAGAACACATCCAGCAAAAGACCTGTGGCCTGGTGACCCCAGCCTCTGCTCTGCAAAGTAGTCAAGCACATGTCCTTAGTTTTAACTGAAGGTGGTAAAGAAACTCTCCAGGGTTAAAACTACGTGTTTCTTTAACCATTTAAAAAAGAAATTAGCAAGCTTAAGAGCTATCATTCCTCTTTATTAATAAAAGAGCAGCAATGAGGGAGGGCCTTTCCGGATTGGGACAATGGTTAACTCTTTCCCTTATGCCATTTTCACACTGACAATTGGCCCAGAACTGTTATTTGCCCCCAAAGAGCTATTTGCAGCCAATATTCTGTATACAACATCCTTCTGTAGTTTTCTTCGCAGATTTTTCTGGCCTTCAGGCATACCAAGACATTTTATTCTTACAGCACACTTAAGATGATGAGACTTATACGAGCTGAGTGAAAATGTATCTTGGATTATCCTCAGGTTTGTACCGTAGATTACGGTTTATTAGGCGACTGGGCGTATTAGACGACCCCCCAAATTTGCAGCTGCCAATTTGGGGGTTCGTCTTATAAGCCCAGTCGCCTAATACGCTGGGCAGCTCTGCACCAGGAGGAAGCCGCCTAGCGAAGCCAGCTTAGCATTGCTGGGCAGCTTCCTCCCGGCGTGGAGAGGAGCCTGCCGTCCGCTGCTGCGGCAGCTTCTGAAGCAGCAGTGGGTGGGCTCCATACCCGGCGTATAAGACGACCCACAACTTTTTAACCTCTTTTCCTGGGTTAAAAGGTCATCTTATACGCTGGAATCTATGGTAATAAGTCAAAGGGCATGTACACACATTTAGTTTCATGCCAATTCTCCCCCCACCCTTGAAGAGCCCTGTTAAAGATTGAAAGAGTTAAAGATTGCAACTGAAATAAAGGGAAGGAATGAAAAGGAATGAAATAAAAATGGCACTCCAGTTTTTAAGACAACCTGATTTTATCTGTGCTGCAGAGACATTGCTACAGACAGCTAACAATATTTTGTTTCGGTCACACATAATTCCTTTAACATTCAATGAGCATGCATGCTGTCTATGCAACTTACAAATGTTGACTGTCTCCATTAGAAGCCATGGGCTGGCTTCTCCTTTTAAATGGATGGCATTGCTAAGAAATGAGACAAAAGCTTAGAAAACCTAGATTGGCACATTCCATTTATTAAGAAATCACTACAATTATTTGAGAGTTTTCCTTCTATGTAAACATTGTCTAAATGTCCGAGAATGTAACAATACCAATTCATGATTTGTTGTGGTTGCACTTGGCAATTCAAAAAATATTAACAGGGGATTTTGAAATGACAATGAATGCAGCAGGAAATCTGAGAAAGAAGCTAGAGGTGGCTTTTTAAAATCAGTATCAGAAAAACATATTTCTTTGAATTAGCATTACTCACGTCATATGTTAACAAAGTGCTTCAGAACAGCTTCAAAATATGTTCTACAAGCTCTAATTCTTGTCTCCATGATGAGAGGGCAAGAGGGTGTACAGATTACAAGGAACGTGTACTAACCAGTGGATATTGCAAACGAAGGAGCACAATACAGCACATAATAGCATTTTTAAAAATCTTATCCATCAGTGCCGTGTGCCTCTTGGTTCAGCATCTCAATCTTATCCCGTGCTGCACCATCCTGAGATGCTGGGAGATACTTTTCTGAGCCACTGTCTTTTTTCATATGCTCATTGAGTTCTGCCCATGTATTTGTCAACGGCTTCCCAAGTGTTTCTGGTAGCATCAGGGTTAGCACTCCACTCAGGAAGGCCATGACTCCTACAATCAGCTAAAAGAAAACAGGTCATGTAAGCGAGAGAAGCTAACTGCATGAAAAGCAAAACAAGAGGTTTTATTTACTATTGTTAACAATGACACAGATGAAGTTGCAGAGCAACCCAACCCCCCCCCCCAAGTTGCGCTCAAGGGGGTTGGATAGAGCCCCCCTCCCAGCTCTGCTTGGCTCTGCCATCAGTAGGGGAGCCCTACCACTGAGGAGTGTTGTAATTCAAACCATAGCTTAGCTCTGGATGAGGCAGCAGCAGGATGACCGGGAGGACTGAAATGGCCATGGTTTTAATTTTGAGTACCTACAGGCTTGTAACTTCAAGCTTAGCATTAGTTTGGCTTAGCATCATATGTGAACTGGTCCATTGTGGATATGCTCAAGTCATTTTCAAAGGGGCTACAGTGCTGATATTTGTTTGTTCCAGGCCTCAACTACTGGCTGTTCTCACACCTGGCCATCTAGTACATTACTGGCATTGTCAAGTTTGATGAAGCTGTTAAAACAAAGCATTTACCTGTGGCATAAAGATCCAAACACTTGACAGGTAAACACAGAAAGGGGCTACCACGCTCCCTACCCGGCACATCATGCTCCCACTGCCCACTGCAAGGGTCCTGAACAGTAAACAAAAAGTCCAATTTCAATTGATACTGTTATAAGCAGAAGACATTTTCACAGAGCAAAGCTGCAGGATACAATTCTAATTCTTAAGGGGTAAAGAGTTTTGCCTTACCGTGCAACTGTTGGATATAGCTCTGCCGTATACAGGTAGATAAGGCCGAATGCAACACCTATTGCAAACTTTCCAGCCATATTTGCTGCAATAACTAGAACACTGTAATCCTGTCAAGAGGAAACATAATTTTATAACAGCATAGGGAGCATGAATTCACTGAGGGTCACTGAGGGACTTATGTTCCAGAACTCAGTTCCTAAAAGCCTTGCTATTTTGTAAACATTCAGGAACCCCTACTGCACTGTTCAGAGCAGACAATGGTTTGGTTTCCTTTACCAAGTAATTAATTCCATCTCTGCACTTAATCACAACTGGACAGTATTTTTTGACTACTATTGTGGGCCCAAAGGCTGCAGTGTCCTTTCTTAAGTTCCATCTAAGCATGTAAACTGTCACATTTTGGAAAAGGTTGCTAGATCAGCAAGTTACCAGTTTTACAGATGGAATATTGTCAGTATTTCTGGAATTTATGGCCCATTTCTTTAAGCCATGGCGTCAGCTATGATCTACAATTAGTTTCAGTAACAACCCTCTGTGTCAACCCAAGGTCCCATAATTGCTGCAACGTTGACAAGAGCCACTATTGCCAAATGTGGCCTCATGTAGCCCAAAACTTGCCAAGAGGAGATGGAACAGGGGTGGAAATGGGGCAATATTCTTCCATAGCATTCTGATGCAGTAATTCAAGCTGGCAGCAATTCAAAAACCTTGGGTGGAATTCAACGTCACACTGTTACAGATGTTCCATCTGTGCACATGTATCTGCTTGCCAGATAAAATGATATCCCATTTTCTTATCCTCTGCTATCCTGGGAGTTTTCTCAGTCCCCAGGAGCCAATTTTGAGGAGTGCACAGGGGGAGGAGAGTGGGGGAACCCTGTTGCACAGGCAGAAACCCCTGCACTGGGCTTCTGCTGGTGGGGTTCATTAGGTGAACCCTGCCCTTAGACTCCATCTGTACTATACATTTAAAGAAGTACCATGAGACTTTCAACAATCATGGGGACCGAAGTTTGTTAAGGATGTGAGAAGACTCCTGTTTTCCCTAACAAAGCTACAATCCCAGAGTTCCCGCGGAAGAGGAATGGACTATTAAACCACTCTGAGAACTGTAGCTCTGTGAGTGGAACAGGCGTCTCCCAATAATCCTCAGCATCTTTAAAAACCACCGTTCCCAGGATTCTTCAAGGAAAGCCAGGACTATTTAAAACGATGTGATACTGCTTTAGCTATATAATGCAGATATGGCTGAAACTGACAGGAAACAACACATGCCCTGAAGAGATCCTCTTGCCTTGCTCAGGATGCTACATTAGTACAAAACCCACAGCATGTTTATATATATCTGATGCAGGTGTGAGTGACTCACCTGAGGTATCACCATGACTAGAGCACAGATCACTGCACTCGAGATGAGGAATGGGATCAAGGTGTTCCTTCGTCCCAGTTTGTCCATTCCTATGCAAGCCAGGACATAGGCAGGAAGCTCCACAGCACCTAGCATCAGATAATTCACATTTTAAAAATGTGTTAGATACATAAAGACGTGGCTAGACTGCTGCTTCCCGTGATTTTTATTTTCTCTCCAGTGTGGCCTTAGCCTGCCCCTCCCCTTATGCCTCAGCCCTCCCGATTTGCAATACGGCGATGGCAACAGGGCGGCCTAGAATACTGCAAGGTACTGAATATGAAATACACTTGCCACTTGGGGAAAATGATCTACAGAAACAAAGGCTGTTACAAAACAACTTTCCCCAGGTGTCAAAAGGATACCTATAATGGCTCCTGCAGTACTATGTCAAAAAGCCGAAATAAAAAAAGAGTTCTTTGCTCTGTGGCACTTTAAAGACTTATTGTGACACAGGCATGCACAGGGTGAAAAGGCCCTTAGGCCTGCCAGTTAACTGGAGCTCATATGACTAACATCCTGACACTAAATATGTTGAAATAATGGGCACAATCCCATCAAACTGAAATACTGTGAAATGTCACTGATAAAAATGGAAGAGATTTAAGTGTATGTTTTAAGTCTCCCACTGAAATCAGCAGCACGGCTCCAATTTGGCTGAACCATGCCTTAAGTGGTCAGCAGCTGATAAATGTCTTCACGATTACAGAAAAATTCACTTTTGTAACAGTATCGATCCACTGGCAATACACTGCTGCTAAACAAAATGGAATACTAGCACCTTATCTTACGCACATCCTCAAAAATGTCAACTGATGATGCTAGTTTGTGAGAAAGAACAGCCCAGCCCCATCCACAGCTTTGGATGCTGTGGCACACAGGCACTTGTGCTGCATACAGCTACAGCAGCCTTTCTAGGCAAGACAAGGGAGGGAGGGCTGGCCACCTCTGTTCCCACAACCCTTCTGGTTCCAAGTGCTACTTCCTGTCTGCCTGCATAAACGTCTGCAACAGCATTAAATGGCCAGAGGACTATTAGGATACTCTCCTAGTGGCTATAGCAGTAGCAGGTGGCATGGTAGGGCAGAGACGCTGACTTGACCTCTTGGCAGGTGAGTCCCTGCTGCTTAAGAAAGGTGAGGTGGTGGGGAGGGCAGCACTGTCAACGCAAAGGCAGAGCCGACCTGGCGCTCCTGCTGCTGCGTTTGCACTGTGCTGCCCTCCCTGCCACGTCAGCTCTTCCCCACCCAGTAAGCAGCTGCAATTCACCTGCCAAGAGATCAGGTAAGCATCTCCACCCCACCAAGTCATCTGCTGCTAGGCTGAAGGCAGATCTGTACCCTGCCAGGCCTGAAGGAAACCCTTGCATGGTACTTCTGCATTGCATAGCAGCTCTTCCACAGTTTTGGTGCTGCTGTAACAATGGCTCCTGGTCAGATGTTGGGGCCAACTCCCGCTGCCAAAATAAGGAGACAAAAATGTTCTCTGGATTCAGCACTGGGAACCCTGCACTTGGTTCTAGGCTATGTTATTGCTACACAGCACAGAAGCATCTGACTCCAAGCATCTGATCATGCAATTTCCAGCAGGTAATCTTATATGTGTAGTGAGGCATCAGTACAGTGCACTGCATGCACAACTCAACATGTGGCACAGAGTACATGTGCATACGCTTGATTTCAGCATTCTTTCCCCTCTTTGTGGATGTGCAAGGATTTGAGGACATGCATACAGAAGTATGCACCTGCATCCTCATAGCACACCAGGTAATGTGTACAGTGGGTGAAGCATGCCTACTTGATTCTCATTTTTTGGCCAGCATTTCTAAACCACATTTGTGTAAACCAGGAGTGGCTAAACTGTAGCCCTTCAGATATTACTGAACTGCAATTCACACGATCCCTGGTCATAGGCCATGCTGGCTGGGGCTACAGGTTAGCCACCACTGCTGTGAACTAACCTTAAGTGAAAGCCAAATAATTCATGCGAATAGTAGCCACTTGAAACCAATCCCATAGTAAGAAATTCTGTAGTGAGAGGCCTAAAGGGACAGAGAAGCTTTGCAGAACAGCCAGAACATTCATACAGGCAGAATATAGCCTAACATGTTTTAAGTTTGACAGTATTATATCTTAGTGAACAACAATGCTCCTTGCACATGTTTCTTTGCATCTCTAAAAGTAAAAAGGCTAGAGACTTGATGAAAGCTGAACATTTAGCTGGAATATCCCTGAGAGGGCCAGGTCCCCATTCCCATAACCACAGCCCTGCTTGAAACATGACAGTATTACCCTGAAAATCATCTGCCTGTGAAATGACCCTCACATTATAATTTGCATGTGTGTATGAACAGGGCCTGAGTTTGGAAGTTCACTGGTGGTGGCGACAATCACTAGACATTTATTTTTTAAAAAGTTGGTTGCATTTCTGTTGCAAGTACAGTAAGTTACATCAAACAATATTTACCTATGAGAAATAGATTTAAATATTCATTGCCTCCAAGGTTCACGGAACTGAGGGAGAACACATAATATCCTAAACTCCCAGTGAACCAAATCAGCCAGACTGTAATGGTCCTTCTTGCAATGTGCCAGTTATGAAACAGATCTAAGATGTTGTGCTTCTTCACGGGAGAAATGTCATTATCACCCGTTCTGCTACTGACTAGATCATCTTGGACGGGACACAGTTCAGAAATTTTACAAGGAGTGCTTACTTTATTCCATCTTGCCATTACATTAATTACTTTTTGTGCTTCTTCGTATCTTCCCTCTGTGAGCAGCCAGAAGGGTGTCTCTGGGAGCATCCAGCAGCACAAGACAAAGGGGAGAGTTGTTACGGAAAGGCATATCTGGTAGACCCACCAGGTGGGGGCCAAGTAGCCTACCAGAGCCACAACCATAATCCCCAGTGCAAAAAACGCATGGACGTGCATGGATGCCCACGTGCGAGCCTTTATGCCAATATATTCAGTCACATACACAAACACTACAACCAGATAGCCACTTGAAACCTGGGAGGTGGGGGAAAAACAGAGAAAGAAAATGGCTTCAGTCTAGTCTCCCTCTACAACAAGAATTAAAAATAGATGGTCATGCTGCAGAGGCTCAGAATTTCAAGAAGTCTGCGATCTGCAATAAAGAGGAAAGCGGTGATCCAAGAACAAACGAAGCAATGGTATTGGATATAAATGTAAGCTATAATCCAGCCAAAAAGGGAGCCAATATGAATTGGATCAGGGTGATCTGGGTTCAGATTTCCCCTCAGCAATGGAAAACTCACTATGGGCTCATCCACACTTCTGTTTGTCCCATGATTACTAGGCCTGAGTCCAAGAGATTTTTCTTTTGTCCCACCGCATTCCCTGGGAAAACCCATGCTTTACTGCTGAATCGGAACAAATGTCAATCAGGTTTTCTGCGGATTGATGTTCGTTCCAATTCAGCTGTATTGGAAAGTGGCAGGACAAAAGAAAAGCCTCTCAAACCCAGGCCTAGAAATCAAGGGGCAAACAGAAGTAATCATGCAACAAATGGATGTGTGGATGAGGCCTAAGAAGTCTTGGGACAATCGCTCTCTTTCTCAGCCTAACTTATCTCAACAAAGCTATGCAGGGGGAAAAATAAGATTACCCAAGTTCACTTCCCTGCTTCTTTGAAAGAAATATGGTATATGTTCCAACTCTGGCTCTAAAATGAAACTAGCGGACTTCCGGCGAGGCAGCATGGCGGCTGCAACAGCAGAAAAGAGCTCCTGAAGCCAGCCAGAGTAAAAGGCTCTGTCTGGCCACCCCAGGGCTCCCAAGTCTGCTGCCGCCAGCACCAACAGCGGAGAGGAATCGGGGGTGCCCAGGCATCTACCAAAGGAGCCAAAACACCCCCCCCCACGACTGAGATTGAGCCGGAAAGGCACCCGACCACCCCCCAACAGCAGAGAGGAGCTCCAAAACCAGGAGGACAGTGGAGCCAACACAAAGAGGGAGAAAGAAAGGGGGAGAGAGGAAGAAAAAGAAAGAAAAAGGAGCCCCAAACTTACCGCTGCCGCCCCCATCTCTGCCGAGGAGAAAGCAGAGGAGAGGTACGTGAGCACGGGAAGGCAAAAAAGGCTCCGAAAAAACAACACGTGGCTGAGCCCCACCGGGAAACACAAAGAAGCAGCATAACAAAGGAGAAACTAGCCTTTTTTTCCCTCCCCCCCCTCTTTTTTTTTTTTTTAACCCCCTTCCTTTTTTTAACCCCTTCCTCCCCCTCCCTCCCCCCTTAAAAAAGCAGGGGAGAGGTAGGTGAGCACGGGAAGGCAAAAAAGGCTCCGAAAAAACAACAACACGTGGCTGAGCCCCACCGGGAAACACAAAGAAGCAGCATAACAAAGTAGAAACTACCTTTTTTTCCCCCTTCCCTTTTTTTTTTTTTTTTAACCCCCTTCCTTTTTTTTAACCCCTTCCTCCCCCCTCCCCCTTAATATATATATATATACCTTTTTATCCCTCCCCCCATATACCTACTTTTATCTCTTTTCCTTATAAAAGAGGGTCCACTGCTACTGCAGCCACCCTTTATTTGAATCTTTACCGCTGATATTACTGTACTATCTCTCCCTTCTCTTTCACTCCAATCTCCCTCTCCCCCCCCGCCTCCCCCCTTTTTCTTTCTTTCTTCTTCTTCCCTTTCTTCTCCCTCCACCCTTTACATATAGCCTACTTGTCTGTCTCTGTTTCTGAGCGCACTCCCAACCCCAACTTCCACCTCAACGGGACCCCAATACCCCTTTGGGGCATATACAACCCCTCCTAACACCTATCTCCCCTGGCCCCACCCCTCCAATCTCTTGCATCTCTACCTGCTAACCCCCCTCCCTTTATATGAACTGTCTGCCCGTCAGTCTACCCATCTCTGCTTACCTGCCCCCCCCCCCCCGCCTCGGCGGCACCGCTGAGGCATCTACAGAAGCCCTAAGAAGTTCTTAAAAACACAGACTAGAAGTGACACAAATGACCACCCTAGTCCAAGCGCTCTGCAGAAGCCACCAACCAAACAAAGCCTGATCAGCTCAGCAACCCAACAATACCCAGGAATCACCACTGCCACCGGACTGAGGTGGGAAGAGCAAATTAATACTCCAAATATCTGGGTCCTTGGTTATGATGCAACAGGAGCTCTTTTCCAGAAATGGTATAGGAAGCCCTCCTATACTTTTGCTTTCTTGTGGAAGAGAATCTAATGCGGACATTCCTTCCATCAATGGTCAAATCATCACTTGCACTTTGGGAGCAATTAGATGCATAGTACATGTGTAATTTGTTTTCCAGTCAAAACAAAAAGATGGCCAGAGCAGCAGAGAAGTGCCATTTCAATCAGCAGCCAGACAACTCCATTTTGCAGTTAGCCAATGTGTGCCTCTACTAAAACAAGATCAGAGGATATCCTGTTGTAACAGTGTGTGAAAAGATCATCTATGGTTTTTCCTGGATGTTCTCTTACGAGCAGAGATATGGATTTATGGGATTGGGTGATGAGTCATCCCAATAACTGAAAAATAATGGCAGTGAAATCAAGTGACAAACATCATGCCCTCAGCTTAGAACCAGGATACTGTTTTAATTATAGAATGAATGTGGTGGTTTTTTCTTTCAGGGTAATAGACATATGTGTCCAATGTGTAAATCTATGTACACTACTGTGAAAGTGATAACATTGTGTTTTTAAAATTTCTTTTACTAATTAACAATAAATTAACAAAATATGTCAGTGCAAGCTATGCATTTTAAGGGCTTTTTATATTTAAAGAATCCTGATAGGTGTATATTATACATTACAGATATATGGTAACCTGAGCAGTTGCCTTAATGCTGTGGCTGTCAGATACAGAGCTGGCCCACCATGATGTGAGGTGATGCACCCACCTCAGGTGGTGGAACTGAAAGAGGCAGTTCTCTCCCACCCCACCCTCCCACTACAGAGAACAGAGGAGGCATTCTGGAGCCAACATTGCCACTTGTCTTCCCTGCCCTGGGTGGAAAAGCCAAGTGAGTGGCAACTTCTGGAGAGCGCCTCAGCTCCTGTGAGTTCGGAGAGAACTGGAGGGCTGTGGCAGCAGAAGTGGGGCATGGGGGAGGAAACCAGGGGTGGCAATTCTGTTTTATCCTCAGGTAGTGAAATGGGATAAGCCTGTCTGCCTGCTCAGATAACTAGTCCATGCCTAGCCAAGCATTTGTCTTCGTGGGCTGCCAGAAGTTTCCAGACATTCCTATTCTCTTCAAGCTGGCAGCAGTTCCTAGGCAGAGACCTGTAAGTGGAAAAATTATGGAGACTGGAATCTGAAACCTATCCAGACAATGATGGGTGCTCCAGGGGCTTTTATATGGCTTGCTGCCTCAATACATCTGAAAAATCAGCAACAGCTCTTAACATTCTACCTGCTACGGTAAGTCACTGGGAATATAGAGGAGTTCCCCTGCCAAAAGGAGATATTGTGCAGTCCTGGTTTTGGGGTTTGGTGAGGAGGTAGGCCCTGCAGCCATACCTGCAGTGTTTGTTGGTGCTTCTGCTGGTTGTCTCACAGTAGTCTTTACAGGGGGAAGCAATGAGAGCCCTTCTTTCTGACTTAACACTAATGCATTGTTCCATAGGGAGAGGTGTGAGCATTGCATTAGTGAACATCATCAGGACATTTTATCATCACACGTTGATTAATGGGCTTATGCTTCTAATGTGGGGATGTCATTCTCTCCCATCAACATTATGATTGGTGGATGGCAACAGGGTTGCTAGAGCAAATGCAGGAGTGGTTGTCTGTTTTGGCTACACTGCGCTCTTCTTTTTCTGCTGCGTTCTTTGGCTTTCACCTTTGCTGCTGAGAACACATCATGGCATAAATGAATTGCCCTGCCAGTCGTGAAACGTTTATTTCAAGGGTGGGCACCCATGGCCCTCCTGATGTTGTTGGATCCAACTCCTATCTGCCTCATCTAGCAGAGCCAATGGTGTAGAAATGAGTGATGTTGAAGTACAACATCTAGAAGGGGCAACCCAGCCATTGAGGTAGCGGATGGATTAAAAAATAATAAATTGTTGTTATTAGGTCCAGCCCAAGTACCAAGTATCAAGGCAGGACAATACCTGTGCACCAAGGATAACTGAGGGTGCCCAAGATTTCTGTTTGTTAAAATAAGAAACTGTATATAGTTGGCACCACACCTACACCCACCCACACACCTTCGAGAACCGCACAGTCTTTATCCCCTAGCCTTTGAAAGGGCTGGCACCGACAAAATGGGGCATATGAGAAAATGGAGGTCTCATCCACTGAGTCAGGAGGGTTCAAGAATCAGGGAGGGAGGAGGGGCGTGTTGGTGGGAAGAAGTCAAAGTATTCTCTTGGGCAGTGGTTCCCAACTGATGGTCTGTGGACCCCAGGGGGGTCTGCATAACCTACCAAGGGGTTCAGTAGTACCATTCATCTAACAAAAACTACCAACAGATCAACAATTTACAAAGTAAGGGGAGGGGTCATAGCTGGCTTTACAAAACAGGGTCTGCAGTACTTAGGCTAATTAGGAACCACTGCCTAGTGGTTTCAATATTAGAGTTTGCTGCTGTGGTTCAAGGAAATACGTGGTTTCCTTTAATGCTGCCTTCAAAATATGTTGAGCATACATTTTTGCACAGTCGAGCTTTAGTAGTTTCGCACAAGGTTCTTTGCTTCTTTGCTAACTTTACCTTAGTCCATTGCTTCCCTGCACAGTGAAACACCCATGAACAAGAAGCTTGACAAGCAGCTGCTAGAGTTCAGAAATGTGAAGGGAGTTGCTAACAAGCTGAAAGCCTGTGAGGTGGACTCTGTACCTCTAGATGGGTGATCAGAAGGTGATGGCAGGAGTCCTTGTTGAAACTTGGGACAGATGTGCCAGGATGCTTTGCTGAGAAAATGAAACTACAAGAAAGGAAAGAGCAACAGGGCACAGCTGGGGAGCCAGAGGAAGAGGAAGGGAGAGGCCAAGGAGATCTGAACACACGAGAAAGTTAAAAAGTGGGGAGGTAAGGAGGAGGACAAACATGGCTTGGCAAGGCCCTGTCCCTCTGAAGCCACAGGGGAATCCATTGTGGAAACCAAAGGGCTGAGATTGTAGCAGCTGATTCCCCTCAAACTGTTTTCTTTGTTAAAAATGGTGGGAAAGTTGCATTTCAACAGGAAACAGAAATTAATTGTGAGAGAGCTGCAGGGGTAAACGTAAGATAAATGATTGAAGAATACCAAAAAGCTTGTTCTGAAGACTCAACACATATTTTTTTTTAAAAGCCTAGTATGTATAAACATATGCATATGTAGAGACACATCCAGCAAAGACCTGTGGCCTGGTGACCCCAGCCTTGCTCTGCAAAGTAGTCAAGCACATGTCCTTAGTTTTAAACTGAAGGTGGTAAAGAAACTCTCCAGGGTTAAAACTACGTGTTTCTTTAACCATTTAAAAAAGAAATTAGCAAGCTTAAGAGCTATCATTCCTCTTTATTAATAAAGGAGCAGCAATGAGGGAGGGCCTTTCCGGATTTGGGACAATGGTTAACTCTTTCCCTTATGCCATTTTCACACTGCACAATTGGCCCAGAACTGTTATTTGCCCCCAAAGAGCTATTTGCAAGCCAATAATTCTGTATACAACACTCCTTCTGT